CTCGCAGGAGCAAAGGCACACACCTGGCTAAGTGTCAAGCTCTCTCACTTGGCTATTTGTCTAACAACTCTCACCAATTTGTTTGTGGATTAGGCAGAAAATTACTTTGCTGGAGTTTGGGGTAACACAGTTTTGGGGACAACACGCACCATGGACTGCTCCCAAAGCTGGTTTGGATGACATCACCTTGTTTTAGAGGAAAACTAAGGTTTAGGCAGGATGCAGTTACGAGGAGGCTCCGAGGACCAGAACTCTGGACGGAGGTTGATGGATCAGTCAAGGCTGCACTAATCCAGATACAAAATTACAAGGGGGCTGCTAAAAAATAATTTTTTTTTCTTTTCTCTTGAAAGTATTGGTAACCAGAACACCAGCAGCAGGGACTTGAGAAGCATAAAGCCCATCCTGATACTTTTTTCCTCCTAAACCACCCCGACCCCTGCAGTTTCACTTTGATACAGAGAATTTCTCCCCAGAGTGTTCTGCAATGTTCCTGTCCTGGCTCACCTCGGAAAGTTCTGATGGGCTGTTGCCTGACACTTCAGATTTTCAAAGCACTGTAAGCACACATTAGGTAATGAAAAGCTGACATGATTTATTGACTAGGCTTACAAAGCTGCAAGCACACAAGTGTGGTGCAGTAACCCCACTGAACTACAATGACAGTGCACAGAAAGCAGTGGGAGAGAAGCAGATCTGATAGTACTGATCGATCCCCAATTAACAGCCCCACAATCAATAACTCGTGTCATAATCAAACACTTGGAGAAAACCATCATAAAACGTTCTCTGATGTACCCACACTCACAGAGGAGGGAGAAGGTGATGCCAAGCAGCGCTCAGAGACTTGACACTTTCAAGCAGCTTCTCAGAATTAAGCATATCGACACTTTGCAGTCAGATTGCCTGATTACCTGGCTCTGAAAGCCCTCCTCAATTGACTCTTAAAACTTCAGAGAAGATTTGACAGGTGTTACCATCTGGAACTTGCCCTTAGGTTAAACTTCGTTATGGCTCAAGCCTGAGTACAGAATGCACGACATTTTAAATAGGTAGTTTTAAAACATAAGGGGGGGGAAAAACAAAAAAGAAAAGGCATTGGGATAAAGCCCTTTTTCCAATTTGATCCTTTAATGGATTTTATCTTACATCACCTCAAAACAGGTCAAGTGGTTTTTAATGCAACTACGATTTTGGGCTTGGGGCTGTTTTTTTTGTGTGTTTTTTTTTTTTTTTTTTTTTTAGATTTTCTAAAAAAAAATGAGGGGGCATGGCCCTGTTCAAACAGAACAAGCTTTAGTTTGATTCTCTACCTAAATTTATCTTCCCTTTTCCAAAAGTCCCATTACCCAGCATTTTAATATTGCAGGGCAGCTTTTCCTATTCTCAGAATGATC